AGCATTCAAACTTAAATCATTGAAGAAAGCTATTGAGGTATGTAACCAAATTACCTAAAGATAATTTCCAACTAAATGAAACTGGTAAAAATCATATTAATTTCTTAACATATTTCACTGATTGAAATTGAATTTATAAGTATGTATAGATTCAATGTGACTTGTAAAATCTTCTAAGTTTTAAAATTTTACCCACTGAGAGAAAAATTATTATAATTACCTGCTGAATGATAATTCACTATCCTAAAATATTTGTTTTTTCTTATTCTATTCTATCATCATATCTTACCTACATTTATTTATTTCATTATTATACATTTCAACTAATTATGAAAATTATCAAATAATTTACTCAGTCTTGTAACCAATGTAAATAATTGAATACCTATCTAATATAGTAGTGTAATTATTATTTTCCTTTTGAATTTGTTCTATTGTACTTAAATCCATCACAAACAATCTTTTATTTTCCTATATGTATTTTTATCTTTTAAATATTTAATGCTATGATGTTTCTTAAATAATGCTAAAAAATGTGGACATTTTGTCATTTAATATCATTCCATACATATCCTGTTTATTTATCTATATTATTGATACTCAGCTGTTAGCTGTACAAAATATTCTCCCTATGCCTATTTATTTAGTTGATCAGATTGACATTTCCATTCTTCTTTTTCTTTATTAGGAACGTAAAGAACGCGTGAAGAAAACTAAGAAGTATTTCAAACGCGCCGAGGCTTATGTTAAGGAATTTAGAATGAAGGAAAGAGATGAGATCCGTTTAGCAAGAAATGCAAAGAAATCCGGTGACTTTTATATTCCTCCTGAACCAAAATTAGCATTCATCATGCGTATTCGTGGGTATGTTTGCTTTCTAAATCTGTTAAATAAGATAATTTCTATTACATATATTATGAACAATATTTTAGTGTGAACCAAGTAGCTCCTAAAGTGAAGAAAGTATTGCAACTGTTCAGATTGCGTCAGATCAACAATGGAATATTCATCAAATTAAACAAAGTAAAAATATAATTAAATGTAAATAGTAAGTATTATTTCTTAACTTTTTTTTTATTATTTTTAGGCAACATTAAATATGTTGAGAATTTGTGAACCATATGTGACTTGGGGTTATCCTAACTTGAAGAGTGTGAGGGAATTGGTCTACAAAAGAGGATTTGCCAAAATCAAGGGACAACGCATTCCAATCACTAACAATGAAATGATTGAAAAGAAATTGGGAAAATATGGTATCATATGCACGGAAGATTTAGTTCATTGTATATACAGAGCTGATCGTCGATTCAAGTATGCGATGAACTACCTTTGGCCTTTCAAAGTAAGAATACAATTCCAATAACTTTTTACTTATATTTGACGCATCCATGGTATGACATCATTCTAGTGTTACGCCTTCCACGTTGTCATATAGCAAATAATGAAGCGATATGTTTAGTTTTGATTATTCTTGTTGTTAAAAAAATAATTGCCTCATTGATAAAAAAATTTTCTTTATACATAAATATTTTATAATTTTATAAATAATTAAGTTTCATTTTTTATTTTTGAATACTAAATATACAGGTGGCCAAACAAGCCATTTTCAATCTATCTCCGTTTGTGGGAAGAATTTATATATTATTATTAATGTTTGGCCACCTGGCATGCAGTAACAAAAATAAGGTTTAATGTGTTTCCAATGATTAAAGTAGTGATTGAAACCTTTGATTGTAATATTGTTCCATTGATCTATTTTAATTTTGTTATTATTTTTTTAGTTAAACACCCCAACTGGAGGCTGGCGTAAGAAGACCAATCACTATGTTGAAGGTGGTGATTTTGGAAACCGTGAAGATACCATTAACAAGTTATTGAGAAAAATGGTTTAATTACAATAAATGTTCAACAAAAATTTCATTTATTTTCATTTTAATAATATGTTATTGTAACCTGATCCTATGTCATATTATCTCTTGTTATCCAAAGAAATATTGTCTAATTGTAATGACAACTATTAAATTATTCCCAACTAAAATCTGTTATAAGATGAGTGTGTATTATTTATAACTAGGGTTCGGGACTTATTGCACACAAATTATAGGAAATATGCACTTAAAATAACCAAATTCGGTGCAATTGAATATTTTTTTTTAAATTAAAAAATTTTAATTTAGACCTTTTGTAATTAGTCATTTTTTTACTACAATAACACTATCAACATTATATTACTGAAGTGTATGTTCGATTTCATTTTCTTCTTCTCCTACAATAAAAAAAAATTGAGTTTTTTTTTAATATATTAAATTATTATTAAATATAAAAACGATGAATTGTTTACCTGTAAAGTTTGACTGTACAATTAGACATTAGAAAAGAGATATTGAACAACGCATGAAAATAAAAAAAAATAAAGTTAACCTTTAAAATAAATGTACTTAACGTAAAACAAAAACTGCGTAAATATGCTGTAAATAACAATTAAACTGCCAAAATTTGTCAAATATGCATTCTGCTCAGAAAACAACAAAATATGCAATTCAAATTTTTGTATTTCAATCCGTTATGACTTAAAACAAATTTAAATCTTACTTAGACTATTCTGCAGTCATTATTAAGCAATATGCAAATGCAACAAGTCCCGAACCCTATTTATAAGTTATAACAGATGGTAAATGATTTGCCGAATGCATATTTCATATATTCCATCAGAGAATGATAGTAATATAGTATGCTACTTAGATAACATTCTCACTATGATATTTCTTACCTAATTTTCATGATCATGATCGTGACTTGAAATGAATAGTGCAACTTTTTTGTTGAGGAAGAAGAGGGACTATATTATAAAAGTGGTCAAGTGGGTACTGCTCTGCTGTACATTAGATGTAATGGGATGTGTTAAATTTGAATTAAATTCAATGATATAAAATTATTCTGTACAAAAAACATTTTAAAGACGAAAAATTTGCCTATATTACTACAATTGTATTTTATACTAACAGACACATTTTAAATGAATGAAGTAACAAAAATGTAGTACGCAACTAAGAAAATGTTTGTAAAAATTTTCTTATAATTATTAAGATAAATACATTTTGTTTAGTAATAACGGTTAAAACTTATATTGCTTAGCTTTGTATATTGTATTATATTATTCTAAGACTGTTGTATAATTTATAATACAAAACATAGAATATATTATATTATATTTACTTAAATTATACCTATCTATTTGATGCCCTTATTTAATAAAACATCTTAAAAAAGTATATACATAATTGAAGCGTTTAGTGCACCATCTACTATATAGATCTATACAATCAATATATTAGCGTTCGTACAACAAACTTCTAGAGAGCAGCAGTGCGCTAGATCTGGATTTTTACCGTAATAAAAACACATTCAGGTGTCGACTTGTAAGACCTATTATTCTAAAGTCCGTGGTTTAAGCCATGATCACGGACTAAGATATACAGGACTGGAAACGAATGAGCTGGCGGAGTGCGGGGTCTGTACAACGGTTCCTTTCTGACGCCTGTACAACCGCGACCGCTCTGCCATCTATTGGCAACTATTTTAAGCCTATAAATAATCCCTATGTTACTGTATGAAATAATGAAATATATAATAAACTTTAGACTTGTTATACACATCTTGTATCTAATTTTGTTTCTTGAATGTGTATAATATATTTTATACTAAACAACTTAATCTAAGATATATTATAGGTACTTTATTTGTATGTACATGTTATTAAATTAAGTACAGAATAGGTACTGAGCAAGTATTGACCATACATAAAAAGATTATTTTAGTCTATTCTGTGAATCCTATCTAAAATTCATTCTATGTTGTACTTTTTTATTACCAATATTTCAATAGTAGGTACCACGAACTAAGATATCTTAGTATATCTTAGTTCGTGGTAGGTACATTACATTTATTTATTATTTAAGATAAATTACCAAAATGCCTAGGCTTTGTAGTGTAGATCAATGCCATATTTTGAAAAACAAAATTAAATGTACATTGTTCAAAGCACCAAAAAAAGTTAATATTTTAACAGCATGGAACGAAGCTGTCTCTAAAGCTAATGGTAAAAGTTCCATTGCTCATTATGTTTGTCAAAATCATTTTTCAGCTGCAGATTTAATAAGTGTATATAACAACTATCCAGGAGATTTAAATGTATGTTAAATTTTATATTTATGCAATTTATGATCTATTTTACAATCAAGTTACTATTAATTTTAGTCAGTATGTAACTTAGCAATTTGACATTTGTAGTGTTGTAAAGATAATTTTTAAAAGTGTTTAAAATGTTACTCAAACTACTCAAACATTTTTTTTTATATAGGTACTATACCCTGTTCAAAATAAGAAGCGACCTGATTTACGCTTGAAAACCGGTTTTACTAGTGGCCGCCGAATCGCTTCTTAAAATGAACAGACTATAGGTAGTAGGCACTAGGCACCATAAATAATAATTACAATTTAATAATTTAACAATTAATTATTAAATTATTATGTAATGCACTTACGTACCTAGATGGCGTTAAGATCGACGTTGTACCAACTAGCGTTGTACATTAGTTCCATTGATAACGCCGTCGTTTCCAGTCCTGTATATCTTAGTCCGTGGCCATGATATTATTGTTATCTTAAGTTCTTATCGCCTAATATCGTACTTATATTTAAAATGATAAGATCTATATTGATAATAAAATTCATATTTCATAATGATTTAATCAAATATAATATGTTCCACATAAATAATTTATTATTATATAAATATATTATTATCGCCCGTCGGTAATCAAAACTGTTATTTGAAAGTATTAAATGTCTTTTAGAATCAGAACAGTAATATTTAGTATTACTCAAAGAAGAGAAATAATCAACGGCTGCATTTTAAGGATGGTATAGTTATATCGATTCGAAAAATTGATAGAAAAATGCATTGGATATTCGTAATTCTGCCATAATTATAGTACAAAATGAGTACCTTACATAAAAATTGTCTTGCACAGCCTGGACGTAAAAAAGTTCAAGTAATGAAGATTTTATTTTTTAATCTGTATAGGTGTACATCTAAAATTAACTTGATAATTTCACAGGATACTTAAAATTATATTTTTTTCATTTCAATATAGATTTCATTTGTTATACGTGATGAAGAAGAACGTAGACATAGAGCTGGTGTCAATTCCTTACAATTGGATTCTAAACAAGGAATATTATATTCAGCCGGTCGAGATGGCATAATACGTCAATGGGATGTCAGAGATAATGTTGAAGCTACATATTTACGGTCTTTAGAACATCATACTGATTGGGTTAATGATATTGTACTATGTTGCGGTGGAAATTATTGTAAGTTCAAACATTTTAATGATTTATTGTGTATAAAATAATATAACGTTAAAAATATCCAAAAATAAATAGGTGTAATAGAATATCTTGTTAAGAGTTTCAATAAAATAATTGTTAACTTCATTACTAGTTGTATCTTCAAATTTTTCCTTGATCTCTTAAAAACATACCTATGCTATGTTTACCACTGTTATTTACTATTATATTGTGATTTAATTTTAATTTGGTGTTTTCAGTGATTTCTGCTAGTTCAGATACCACTGTTAAATTATGGGGACTTCGGAAAGAAAATACTTGTTTATCAACCTTGCGAACACATAAAGATTATGTTCGGGCCTTAGCATATGCCCGTGATAAAGAAGTGGTCGCATCAGCTGGGTTAGATAAAACAATATTCATGTGGGATGTTAATATGTTGACTACTTTAACTACTACTAATAATACTGTAACAAGTATGTTATTTATTAGGTATAACATAAAATAAAGATTGATTATTATTAATTGTTATACAATATGTTTAGCGGCTTCCCTGCCTGGTAGCAAAAACTCTATTTACAGTTTGGCAATGAACAATAGTGGTACAGTTTTAATTAGTGGAAGCACAGAAAAAGTCTTACGAGTGTGGGACACAAGGACGAGTGACTGTATGATGAAATTGATAGGTCACACAGACAACGTAAAAGCTTTGGTTGTAAATCGTGATGGTACACAATGCCTATCGGGTAGCTCTGATGGAACTATTAAACTATGGTCTCTAGGACAACAACAATGCATTCAAACTCTAAGAATTCACAAAGAAGGAGTTTGGGCATTAGCAGTAATAATATTGATTACTTTAAATTTCAATAATTTTTGTGTGAGATAATATTATATAATTTAAATGATTTTTCCTTATGTTCATAGGCAACTGAAAATTTTTCCCATGTCGTATCTGGTGGTCGTGATAAAAAAATTTATATGACGGATTTAAAAAATCCTAATAGAGTTCAACTTATATGCAATGAGACAGCTCCAGTTGTAAAAATGGTTACAACACCTGATATGAGTGCAATTTGGGTAGCCACATCCGAATCTTCTATTAATTGTTGGGTAAGCATGTTATTTGGCAAATAGTTGAATGTTGTTAAAAGAATATCACACCATTTGTTTTCTATCTCTGGCCCATGCGCAACATAGCAAAATGTATGTTTAGTAGCACCAACCGTGTGTTGTTACTTTTTATATTAGAGTGAATTCACATATATAGAAATTTAAGCTAAGAATATTACCTATATTGGATTTTTTACAATATTTTTAAATTGTAATAATTTACACATTCATAACATACATAAAAATGTAAGCCAAATCCTCGTTCTCAATAACATATAAAAAAAAAATGACTAAAATAATATTATGTTAATTTAAATAGTACATTTAATAATAATATAATATATTCACAAAACAATTATTATTTACTACTTTTAGAAATTAAGGAAAAGTGATGAAACAGCTGATTTTGAAGATGTCCCGACAGTACCATATAATCAAGAACCATTTAGGACACTTAAAGGAGCTGCTGCTATACGAAAATACCATGTACTGAATGATAAACGAACTATACTGACACAGGACACAGAAAAGAATGTTGCAGTTTATGATGTTCTTAAGGTTATTATCCTCAAAATAAAACTCAAATAATGCATTAAATTATTTATCTGATATTTAAATATATTTGTGTAGGCTTCTAAACTTCAAGATTTAGGGGAAGTCGATTTTGATGAAGAAATAAAAAAACGACATCGTATAATATTTATACCAAACTGGTTTAGTGTTGATTTGAAAACAGGGGTATATATATTTTATATTAGTATTTAAAGTAACAAGATATAAGAAATAATATTATATTCAATGGTAAAATCTTAATTTTTGTTAGATGCTAACGATTCACTTGGGACAAGATGAAAACGATTGTTTTGCAGCTTGGGTTTCTGCTAAGGAAGCAGGAATTAATGTCACGGATGATAACTTAAGAGGTAATTATAATATTGAATTAATGTTGTTTCATATAGTAGTTAAGAAACATAATTTTTGTTTATTAATTAGTAAACTATGGCAATCGGATGTTGCGATCACTATTAGAAAATTGGCTTAATCGCGTTCAAACAGATCATGGGTCTTCTGATGGAGCCCAGTCTGCTGAAGTCAATGCTCAGACAAAACTAGATTCTCAGTGTTGTAGAATTCCTAAACATACACCACTTATGATAAGTGAAGTTGGTGGGCGGTGTCTATATAGGATGTTAGTTAGCCAGGCTGGAGATGAAAATGATGTTTCAATTTTAAACGAAACAATTCCCGCATGGGTTATGAATGTTATCGTTGAAAAAAGTATACCTAAAGCTCTCAAGATATCATTTTATCTTGTGCCACTTTCAAACACGTGCATTAGGCCTGTAAAAAAGTATGTTATGATATAATATTTTTAATTTTCTTTATTAATAACCTTTTATAAAAAAAAATTATAGTGGGACTCTTCGACCGAGTCGAGATCGCTTAGTGGCTAATGACTTTATTCAAGTCCAGAAAATAGCTGAGTATATCCACGAAAAGTTGTCTGAAAATGATGGAAGTGGTCCATATAACAAAACCTCAGACTGCATTAGCAATCATCTTCAAGGAAATACACCTGAGAAAAATTTTGAACTAAGTTGTAATGATCAAATACTTTCTCCTACAATGGATTTAAGGACTTTGAAACATTTCATTTGGAAATCTTCAGCTGATTTAACAATATACTTCAAGGCCAAACATTAAAAGTAATTTTTTCTTCATTATTTATTTATTTATTTATTTATTTTAAGTTATTATCTTCTTATTCTTTATTTTTTTAATTACTTTTCTATTATAATAAAATTCAACCAATTTTTATAAATTTGTTGATACATTTTCCATTATCTGCAAATAAAAAAATGTATATTATATTATGATTGTATTATTGTTATAAGTTATAAAATGTATTTACATAAAAAGTATTAATGTTAAACGTTAAATTCATATCACACTCAGAAAATAAGTGTAATTTTCATTAACCTGTAAATATTACATAACGTATATTAAATTATATTATTATGTAAAAATATTGGCATCAAATCAAATTTAATTTGATTATATTATTATTTTCCTAAGACTTATAAAAATGTTTGAAAAAAGACTTATTTTTGTTTTTTATAATCATCTCTTGTTTTAGTTGTTATATTATAATATTGGTAACATTATGAACACATACGAAATTATACAAATTGTCTAAAATAAATTTGCCTTATGTACCTAATTCATATTAAATATTATAAAAGTAGTCAAAATTGAAAATAGTAACCGTTTTAACAAACCGAACTGGAAAATATCAAATGTTTAAATTATGTTCATTAGGTACATTTTTCGTTCATACAATTTATTTGTTATATGATTTGTGTTCTAAATTGTATAAATAATCAGAACTATATTAAAACAAATATATATATATTACTGTGTATTTAAAAAAATTTAGTTGATAAAATAATATTAATTGTATGTAACTATTTTCTAAAATTAATTGTTCAGTTTAAACATAATCAGTCAACTATGGATACAATTATGTTAGGATATCTTTATTTGATTGAATTGGTACAAATTTATTCAAATTTTTTGGCACATTTTGGGTCAACAATTCAAATTGTGTGAGAAAATTTGTCTAGGAATATGTCTAGTTTACGATTAATTTATAACAGCTGATATGGTTATTAAAATTATGGTATTAACTGGTAATTGGTGATTCTATAAATTTTAGGTATTAATCATAAATTATTATTCATAAATATATATTATGTGATTTTGTTCATTATGAGGACAAATATATTAACAAATAGTTGAGTATATTTACCAGAACTTATATTGTATTATTGTGTGTGTACATAAAAAAATGTCATTATCTCTACCTTAGAATCACATATCTATACAGTGAATTAGAGAAGGTATATACAGGGTGTCCCGTGAGGATTTACTCATTAGCCGTAGAGGGGGACTCGCCGCCCGGACAAAAACCAGTTTATTGACGTTTTACTAATAAACTAAAAAAATTATTAAAAATCATGAGATTAATGAAAATAAAATGTTAAAAGCTCAAAATGTTCACAAAAATATACTCTATAGAATGGCTATCTTCAATTTTTTCAAAAATAAAAAAATAATTTTTTTAACTTTTTTACTAAAAAATTTAATTTAATTAAAAAATAAAATATTTGTAGTGCTTACCTCTGCAAGTCTTAATAAAAAAACATAATTACGATATCTCCATTATTTCAGGAGATATCGCAATGAGTAAATCCTCACGGGACACCCTGTATATTATATAGATACACAAACTATTTTTGTTTTAATTATATTTAATGCAATATCATGGTTTCCAATTTATAATTTTGTTATTTTAAATGTTTTGTGTTTATTTAACATATATTTTATTTATTATACAAAAATGTGTATTTTGTTGTACATCATGACTGAAAATCTTCATTATTTAGATAGGACCGTTTAACTATATTATTGTTTACTTATTCGTATACCTACCTATTGCTGAATGCTAATAAATATTTTTAAGAATTAAGATTAACATAGTATGTACATTTAATTTTGTCAAACATACATAGTATTTATTATTTAGTTTTATTGTTGTGTAAAAATCTATATAGTATATAATAATTAATAGTAAACATTAGGTGTTTTAAATTATATTATTTATATTTACACTTCATATTGAAGGGAGGAACACTTATTAATTTAGACTATACAATAATAAAGGTTTTTTTTTTAATATTTCACATAAATCAAGTATTTTATTAAAAATATAATTTTTTTTTTTGTATTGAACTTCAAAGCCTAGCAATTATGGCCAATGGCTGTTTTTGTTGTTTTGTTGGGGGTGAACGGTTGGTTGAAACACGTTTTTAGGTTTGACAGAATTTCAAGTTGGTCACCCGTAGGTATCTGCCATGCCCAGTCAGGGGATTGCGACCTCACTCTCCAGACAGTTGCCTGCCGAGTCTTGGTCGATGTTAGAACCGGCAACAGTTCAAGTCAGAACCGAAGACGTGGTCCACTCGGCCGCTCCGTCCCCCTTATTAAAAATTATGTGAATATTTATTTACCTATATTGCAAGATTTTTTTTAGTTTTTTCAATAATAATTATAGACAACGACATTTTTAATTATCCAAAAACCTTAAAAGAAAAACCAATTCAATGTTTCTCATAAGTTCATGCTGAAACCAAAAACTCTAAAAATATGTAAACACAACTTTTTTAAATACATTTGAAGTTAAGATTTAGATTAAATTAGATATCTAAACTAAAAAGTAAAAATATAGATTTTAATTATTTTGTTGCAAAATGTAATTCAAAAAAAGGTGGGTAAGTGTGTACAGCTCTACTGTTCAGTAGGTGTCGAGTGGGTCACTAATGAATGTGTTCAATTTGAATTCAATGATATATCATTGTATACGAAAATGATTCTAGGACATATTAAATTACACTAATATTACTAGTATTACGATGTGTCAATGTCTAGTGTTCAAGTCAGCTTTCAAAAAATTCACCGTAAGTGTTCCTTAATTCAAAGTCTTGTATTCTATTCAGAGATTATTCTTAACTCAAAACCGAATCATATGTAGAAGCTACCAATTGATTCTCATACAGAATAGATTTCTGTGTCTCTTTCACAGTTAATAATTACAAAACATGGGCGTTAGGTAAATTATATAGCGATATGGGCATGGTCATAAATCATAATATGTACTTGTTTTTAAATTTACCGTGGGCGCGGTTATCAGTAGTTTAAGGAAATATGGGTTTTATTTTTAGTGTATCTATTTACTGTTTAGGCACTTTGAATTAAATAATAATTATATATTTTAATACATGCGCAGAGTGCAGACAAACAGTCATAGTAACTATATACCTACTTCACTTTCACTACGTATGCCGCACACAGAGTAGGTACAGACCTACTACTGCTTTAATACCGCCGCGGAACCTTGTTAGAAATTGATATCTAGGTATAATAGCTTGGGATAATGGGATACCCATTACCCATATCTTTTTATAGACTATACTAAGGGCTTTAAGTGGGAAAAAATTCCAGAGGGGACTAATGTCTCCATATTATATTCTTAAGCGTTCCATTTATGATTTTATGTATAATGTCTAATGTATAAAATTCTATTTTGTTAAAAAGGACGATTTTTAATCGCCTCCAGCGGTAGGGTGACAGAGTCCCCCTGCGCCCCCCAACTTTAACACCTGACTATACTACTACTGTCTATAATACATATAGAACGTTGATATACACAGGCAGCATATAGAGGCATAGAAGCAACCTGAGTATAGATAATCATGGTTAACAGGAATCAATTTATAAAAAAATACCTTTGCGATGAGTCATGGACTATATCTAGTCCGTGCTATGAATTATTAATCAAGTTACTTATCAGTTTTCCTCCCAACTTCGGACCTATCGTGCATCCGTGCAGTTATTTGTTCTGCGTAGTGCCAGTGCGCGAAGCAGTGGCGTACTTAGACCTGAACTTTGGGGGGGGTTTTAATTTTTTTAATTAACATATTAGATGACGTGACACCTGAACATAACAAAACATATCGTACATTTTAATAGATTACTAATTTTTATTCGTGATATTATTTTTCATTGACATGTGATAATTAATAAATATGTAATTACTACTTAACCATATGTATATAAAAAAAAAAAAAATGTTAAATTATATAATAAAAAATAATTTAGATACTTATGTTTTTTAGAACATTAATTTTCTATTTTTTTCTGAAAAAATATCGACCACTTCACTACTTTTTATTGGTATTTCTCTGTGAATACTTAGATGAGCCAATCCATTTAGACGATTTTCCCCCGTGGAATTCCTCAAGTATGATTTCAAACGTTTTAACGTTGAAAAGCTCCGTTCTACGCTAGCAACTGTGACGGGCAACGTAGCGCCAATTTTTAAATATTGGTATACTTTAGGAAACAGTAACTCATCACAACAATTTATGGCATCGATAAAAGTACAAGGGAGTTTATCTTCTGCAGCGGCTAACCATCTTTGTTTCCACAATAGAACTTCTTTGTTCACAATATTGTCACATGAGCTTATTACGACTGGCCACTGTTTTGACATCACTTCCGTACGTTTTTTTTCTAATAATTATAGTGTATATAATAATATATATTGGCCTGCTGAAAATTTTTTTTGGCCTGCTCTGATGTTAGTATACCTTTCAAAAAGTTGAAATGACGCCCCTGAGTAGGTATTAATAATAATTATAATAACAATAGCCTTACCTGAACTAATTTCATTTATTTCGTTATTATGATCACGATCATGCTGGTCTCTATTCACTATATCAAGTTTAGGTTTTTTTACTATCCACTTATCCATTGTTAAATTTTAATATACTTAAACCTTTTAATAAAATATACTTAAACTTTTATACAAATATACAATAGTTCGTACTTCGTATGCAACTGTAGTTTTGTTTGTCACTATAAGTTTAATATAGTTCAATGGTTGATAAAATAACATGTAGGCACTGTCTCGGTAATACATGAAAACGACGTTAACGATTGTCGATTATAGATTAAAGTGGCTAACAGCCTAACACACTAGGTGATTAATCGCACAAAATAAAATACGTTTTACGACGACGATAAAAGATAATTACACCGATCGTCCACGTCCATATCTACAATATGTCAATATCTTCGTGGAA